CCCCTCAGGAAGTACACCAATTCCCCTCCATTTCCTCAGACAAAGACACCTAGCGGTAAGGGTTCCCCTACTCTAGAAGCATAATGTGTCTGGCGTTAATCAGGCTCTCTAGGTGGTGCCACGCATCGGATTTTTAGAAAGAGCTTGATTATCACTCTTTCGACTAATCAGGAACGGAGTCCTGTACGGCTTAGGCCTAAATGGGGTTGGTGATGTAAACCGGAGTGTAAGTGAAGACCAAGAACGTCACTCACTCTTTTCGGGATCAGTGCACAAAGTAGTAGATGTTTAATGGTTCAAAACCTTTTGTTTATTTTTTGTTTATTCAGACCTGCAAGTAATACTTACTGGGAGAACTCTCCACTCAGAGTCATCTCTTCGATCGGCCCTGAAGTACCCCATGAAAGGCGCTCATCTGTCCAGTATTGGTGCAAGTACATTGTGATCGTGTAGTCCTTGAAATTTCCTTGTTTCATACAAAATTCGATAATTGATTACATCAATCAAAAACATGTAAAGTGCTTACCATGTTGACTTCCGATATCGAATCGAATGAAGCGATGATGATGTCCATCGTGAGAAGTAAGGCATCACCTTAACCATTCAGTTGTGATTGAATACTTTTGAATAATTATTTCAATTAGAATGTGCAATTTATCGATCGCTAAGGCGCATAGTTGTAAACTGAGGGGAGAAAACCTTCATAAAACCACTAAAACGGCTCGTTTCGCTACTTCCTCAGAAGGCCTTATTATTTCGTCAATTCTTGGGAGCTCGTCAGTAAGCTTGGGTTGGCGAAATAAAGCCACAAGGGAGAGACGGGAAAGTGGCCTTCCACACGACAAGCAGCAGCGTAGTATCAGGAGCTCCAGTCCTTTACAAAAGTTGACCATTTCGCAAAAGCTCGCGCAGTTGATGTACAGCTTTAGTCCGTTGAGAAATTTCAGAGTTCCGATTTTGACTTGTTTTTGATTAGTGGTGCCCCGGTAGCGTAACTTGCAACGCATTGCCCGGTAAGCGAGAGGTGCAGGTTCGAGTCTCGTCTAGGGCAAGAGTATTGTCACCACCAGCATTATTGTGAAACTTCAGAATGCACCAGGAACGTTGCTCTGAGGTTCAAGTAGTTAGTTTTGACTGTTCCATGGGAGATGATCAGTTTCTATTACGAAATTTGCCTGCAAAAGGAGGATTCGACATCAACTACAGCCATTTGGGAAGTTAAATTTGAAAGATAAAAATATCCTTCTCAAAGGTTGCTTGCCGGGGTTAGATTATGTGTTGACCCGTTGCGAACTCCTCTTGCCCCCTACCTCCGCCACTCCTTTTTAAAACGTCTCAAAGCGGTGCATACGAGAAGAACAGTTGCCCCATATCAGAGCTTCCGATTTTGGGCCCAAGAGATTTAGGTTCTGCTCTCAATGTGGAGGGCTTGTCGACCTTTTTTCTTACAAGTACATCCTAGACAACCTTATTTCGTGAGTAATTGACCGAAAATAGTACCAATTGACGTAAACACAAGAATTAGCTGTACTGAGGTCCCAGAGGAAATCAAATCGTTCCAGGCGAAACTAGAGCATTACGCTAAATGTGAGGACACAAGCACAGTTTTGAAAAGTCCCTCTATGAGTTCTGATGTGAAATTCATGTTATGCCTGAGACTGGAATAATATATAGTTCATCTATTAGGAAAGAGAAAAAATGTTCCCAAAAATATGTAAGCAAAAAATGCCTAGAAGGTTGCAATCGTCAGAGCAATATAATGGTATGCAGGAAAGGGGAGAGCAAATGATTAAAACGATTGATTCGGTAAAGGTGTGAAGAATACAAAATTTAACGTCTCGAAATATGTACCCTCCCTTTCAAAAACGAGAAGAGCGTCGGGTGCAGACCATACACCACAAGTGACGACGGCCTCCACAAAATGTAAATGTTTTCTGCCAATGAAATGATTAGCCTGTTGCAGTTGTATTCTATCAGTTGTCACTAATTACAACTATCATTTACCAAAAATCAGCTATCACTATGAACCACTACTAACCAGATTTACTTGGAGGCGTCGTCACTTGTGGTGTATGGTCTGCAGCCGACGCTCTTCTCGTAATTGAAGGAGAGGTTGTAACAGTTCTCTTCATTGACAGCGCCAGGTCAACTTATCAAAAAGACAAACTCGTGATCGTTCCAACACCACAGAACTTTCACTTTCACTCCTCAGTGGGTCCTAGGGATATTCCCCATTTCTCGTTTACGAACCCACCAATGTTCTATAGGAGAATCTCTCCGCCTTGTTACAATCAACTGCTATTTTTGGCTGTCATGCGAAAGTTATCGCAAGAACGCTGAGCCATGGGCAAAACTCTTCGCCCCAAACAAGATTTTTGGCCTTCCTTGCCCTATCTCGCTAAGCCAAGTAGTCAAATGAGCTTTTCCAAGCTGGTAATGGTAAAGGGGGCGAGTGAAGGTTGCAAAAATAGTATAGGCGAAAACATCTGATACCAGCGACCTTGTCCATTCCTTTGTGAACTTACCTTTAACAGGCAAAGAAGTAGACAAAGCTTGTCTGCGCACAAAAGAGAGGAATGTGTGCGGAACACAGACCCTCCCCCACTCGCTATGTGCGTTACCTGCCAGTAATTTAATACTTACCATAATTCTTATAAGAAACCCCATAGGGCCATCAAAATTGTATATCCAGCAGATCACCAGAGTATATCCGGAAGGATTGCGGAACTGCACTCAGCAGTTTCAGAAGCTTCAACTCAGTTACTATGATTCCGGACCATTGGATTCGGACTTTCGGAGATATGATTGGAGATTTG